GTTTTTATTTATTGTGGATTGAGATATGAATTCATGCTACTTAAAAATATAATTTTTCTCATTATGGATTTTCTTATTTTGTAATTTGTTCACTTGATACTTCTACCCTATTGCAATGATTATAGTGCCACTCACTTATGACCCTAAGATAGGAGAAATAAAAAATTAAAGTTATATACAAAGGTAGCCTAAAAAATCATGCTGTTAATACATGGTTAAGAAATAAACTTAGATCGATTTGTCTTGAAACAACCTTCTTGGCCAGATATATGAACAGAAGTTGTTGCCTGCCATGCTAACCTTCAATGTGGCAGATAATATTCTTTTGTGAACTCAGGCACTGGCTCTCAAAGGAGTCTTTGTTTCTGTCTCTCATTTCCACTTCTATCAGAGCCTTACCTGGGATAGTATGCTGTGTAGTTCATGAAGAGCTGAGTGCCCGCCGGGTAGTATGCTGTGGAGGGCTGCAGTGCTCGTGGATTCAAAAGCACAGAGGGCTGATAAATGGCAGCTTCAGTCGGAATAACCGCTGCAGGAGCTGGAAATGTGTAAGAAGGAGGAGACAGGCCTAAATAAGCAAAGAGAGAAAGAAACGTTGAGACGTTTGTAACAGCTAACATATATGTGCTAACACTAAAGCCATGAAATCACTGTTGCACATATATATTTTAAAGAAAGAGACCAGTTTTCTATACCATACCAAGCTACTACCTTTAGATTATACAGATAACACGTAGAAGTAATCTCAAATCTCATACTCCATTAACCTAATGAATTGACTTTAGTATGAAATTTGGAAAAACCAGTATCAAGTGGACTTTCAAAAATATTCTCAATCATTTCATGACGTGATATTTTTTCCACTCCTGAGTATCAGTTAGGAAAAAAACATAGGACTGACATTTAGTGTAGCTTCAGACTACACTCTGGATTTCTTTGAGAACTACACTGCTGTTTCATTTATCTACCCTATAATACAGCATGAAATAAAAATGGTTATGATGAAACACCTTTAACCAGTAGCAAGTATTATGCCAACGCATAGACTGTGCCAGAATGAACTGACCTAAAGAGAGTAGATTAACTCTATTATTCCTGCCTTTGAAGATAATCTAAACCTTAAAAACTGTTAAAAAATAAAATCAAACCTATGAAATAGCTCTGAAGAAATTAGAAGCACTAATCTTCCTGAAGAGTCAGCTGATAAAATGCAGACTCAGATTAAACAGAAAATAGAATGAATTTTGTCTTCTGGTTATCCAACATCTTCCAGGCCTGGTAACTCATTTAAGTCAGACCAGTTGCTGGTCAGTAGCTTTAACATGTGAGATGAAAACAACTATCTAGGCCATCTGTATCCAACAGAAGAGGTAACTGAGAAGTTGCCTGAATTTGGGGTTCCTAGCTTTGATTTGCACACCTAGAACTACCTAATTTACTTTGCAAACACAGCAGAGACCCAAGAGATACTTTTTCCACATGAAATTTCCACTGTATTCTGATGAGTTTCTACATGTCTATGCAGAGGAGGAAGGCAGTCAGCCGAATATGGGTACAAGGGTAAAGGCCCACATATTGACCTTATATTCACTTTCTGGGGTCCTCTTTCATGCTCACCAAAAACTGAGCTACATTTTATTTTTATTTTTTTTTATTTTCATTTTTATTTTTTTAGGCGAGGCAACCCTTGGTCGACCTCATAGATTGCAAAGACCTTGTCAGCTTACGATTCCATTTTTTTTTTTTTTTTACACCTATGGCACTTGGTTTTCCTAGGTGGTCTCTCATCCAAGTTACTAACCAGGCTTGACTCTGCTTAGCTTCCGAGATCAGATAGGATCAGGCTTGTTCAGGGTAGCACGGCCATAGACGAAACTACATTTTAGACATCTAGCATGTAGATAAATTTTAAAATTATGATCCCTGGTCTAAAAGAGTCCTCAAAAGGGCAAAACAGTACAAATTCAGGTACCTGACTTATAGAGAAAATTATAAAGCCTGTGCTCATATCCTGCTTTCAAAACTATGAAGCAATTCATTATACGACAGTGCCTCATACCAATAAGACAAACTATATAGTAGGTATAAGTCTGTTCTGACTTAAAGAAAAATAGAAATTTTGGTAATTAAACAGGCTGCTCAGATTTGGGTATTCTTCAAATGAAAGAACAGCTATTCTCATATTCCTAAAAGAAAATATATAAATGTATACATTCACAGAGTAGAAAAATGGAGTCGACCTTGAAATGCTCAACTTTTGAAAAGTACAATTTCAATAAACAAATAAAAGTTTAAAACTTTAAAATAATGAGACTATAGCAGCATTTCTTTCCCAAATTCAACAAGAAACTCCTCAGTGGGTTATAACTAAATCACTATTTTAACTGCATTAGTCCTTGAAAGTAGAAAAACATGCAATTTCTCTAAGTTTTTTGGTTGCTGTATAAATAGGCAATCACCTGAAGTGAGCTGACAGGAAAAAAATCCAGTAGGAGAGACATAATATTTTCATGCATAAATTGGAACTTTGATTTAAAAAAAAATCAGTAAACTCTTCCACTAAAATGGCAAATGGCCAAATTTTAGTTAAAAGTTTTAGAATTAAAACTAAAGATATAAAAAAATATTTTTTTATGTGAAAAATGCATTAAATTTTTAAAAATTTATTTTAGGGCTTATGAAGGGAAAAGGGAAGAAATGAAAGTGTTATGAAGAAAGTCTTTAATGACCAGTTTTCCATCAGGAAGAGAGAACAGGATATCACAGGAGAAGAATTTGGGTTACACATGAAGGAGAAATTCCCTTATCTCACAATGCTTGATAGATTATCACTAGAGGAAATCATAAAACTTACTGACATTACCAGTGGTTTATGAAGACAATACACGTGTTAAGATTACTTTAAGATAACCACTTAAACCCAAATGTAAATTTTCAAAATTTCATATTCTTAGTGATCAACTCTTAAATATTCACCAACAGCAAGCAGCAGATAAATGGAATATCAGCATTTAGAAATTCCAAGGCAAAAAAGGATTAAGCCCCACCAAATACCAAATAGTCTATGAATAATACTTTATTAAATATATTTTTGGTATAGATCCCTTTTTACTAGAAAATGACATCCTAACATGCCCATTTTTTTTGGAACCAAGGTCATAATCCAGTTTACTGTTTGTTATATTTGAACTGTATTCCAAGTGCTACATTCTGTAAACATATCCAACGTACATCCTAACAAGGTATGCCTTATTTGAAAGTGAAAACTGCATCAAAAAGATTCAGGTTTTAACATCATATCCCCACTGTTCCTTAGTTACTCCCCAGAACTTGGTCTTCAAACTGAAGGGCTTATTCCTCTCAAACAGGATTCCAGATGGCTTGTACCCAGGTGCCAATGAGCAAGAGCATGGCTTGAAATTAAGCACTGATCCTGTGATGCACTGGAAACTTTGGCTAATTTGCGCATTTATATTTTTTTACTAACTTGCTCATTCCAGATATCCTGGAGAGCTAGAGAAATGCTCTCCAGCTTATCCCTTCCAAAAGATACTTAATGCTCAAAAACTTAAAAATGCAAAATGGGCATCAAATCAGCCTTCTTAAAAAAAAAAAAAAAAAAAAAAAAAAAAAGCTTAATGTGTTACAGGAAAAAAAAGAAAGGAAAAAATAATCTGGCCATACCAATTTTACCTTTAAATGCGTATTAAAATATTTACATAGCCAGGTTGCCTCCCAGAGTCAGTGCTTATCTTGAGCACACTAAGCTTCAGAAATCAAGTGCTTATCACTGGAAAAGCAAGAATGTAATTTGAAAGGAGGTGTTTGTAGCATCTGTAATTATGGGTGTCCACAACCAAGGTCTTAAATGATTACCAGTACTACCGATTTCAGATGGGAAAACCTTATGTAACAACCTTGCCTGCCTCAGAAAGAACCAGAGAAACAGAAAGTTATGAAAGCAGCTTAAGCACCTACCAGCATATAGCGTAGAATAGCGCCAAGACCCAAGAAAAACTTACATGGTAACTTACATGGCGGTGGGGATAAGCCATTTCGATTTAAAGTGCCCCCCATTAACACAAAGTTCATCTCCTCAGCTGAACACTGAAAGACTTCAACATATCTGTCCTTCATGGTTTTTTTATGACACTTCTGTGCAGCCATAAATGCTCTGTCCGCAGACTTCATCTGGATAAAGGCATCTCCTGATGGGCGGCCCTGAGCGTGTGGGGGAAGAATAAAAACAAAAGGAGACTGTCTCCTTCAACAAGGAAATGGTTGCTTTCAAAACATACAAAGTGACAATCACCCATAGTACAGACATTTTAGCCACAAAATCTGGGTGACAGTGTGATCTACTGAAATCTGCCTTGTATTTCATCACCTAATCACCAGCATGGCCCACAAAACCTTGAAGAAACAGTTTTGAGAGCTCATACATGAAAGTGATCCTTTTTGGTTTCATTTAATTAGTATCAGATTTACAAGATTTTGAAAGGGTCTCCTTGTGACTGTGGTTTCAAATTATAGTATTGTATATTGGGTTTTGCCCTTCTGAAAAATTCGATGAACTCTTATTCGATTGAGAAAAGCTACTAACAGAACCAGTATTAGAACTTTACATATCCTCCTACAGAAAACTAAATAAACCAGTGTTCTCTTTTGGCTCTCAGTTTTGTCCATCACTGATCTGCAACATCCCTTTCTCTTCTCTCTTATCCCTGTAGCCGAGGTTGGAATGCGGCTTGGGGATAGGGAAGGGGGACAAGGAATTGGCAGTTGCAAAGCACAGTGAAGGTTGCTGAAAGATGTATAATCAGCCTCGTGTGGGAGCCCTTCTCTCACCTCCAACCTTAAACTTTGGCCAAACAGGTGTTGATAGACATTTCTTCTATTACTAAGAGCTTGCTAAAAATCCCCAATTGAAAACCCAGCTGGTAGATTTCTGATGCACAAAACAAGAAAGCCTTAGCTTCATTTAGCATGGACATTTTATAGGGGATGAAAAGACACAACCACCTTATAAGACATTTTCCTTATTAACGGATTTTTAAAAAAGTCTCTAAGGGACTATTTAGTACAAATTATTACCATGCAAGTTACCATTAAGAGTTACCATACCATGGAAATTAGGGATACCAGGGAAACCCAGTCCAAGATGGAAACCTAACTAACATCTTTGAGGCAGCTAAGAGCTTGTTCATCATTTAAGAAGCATTTCTCTCAAGTGAGATCACAATAGGTCATGTGGGTCAATGATAGATAAATCTGTCTACTGTTTGTTAACTAAAGAGTAATAATAGCCCCTTGAGCATTAGAAATGGTGACTCAAAGAGAAACCAAATAAATCCCTGGCAATGCTAAACTGTGGGTAATTTTATTCAAAAAGACTCCCACCAGTGAGCATGTTGAGAGGGTACCTAGTCAGATAAAAAGTTATATAGCTTAATATTGATATAAGTTAGAATGAGCATGTGCTGGTGTGGAAAACCAAGCAGGGACTCAGGATGTTTTCTGATTGCTTGTACCTAGTGATATGCACTTTCTGGTGAAGACAGGATTATGGTTATGAATGTGACCAAATCTCCATGTGAAAAGAGAACGTGGAATACTAGCAGTTTAGGAAAACATTGGTATTTCCAATATAAACCTATATTCAACCCATCAGTCATCAGAAATCATTTCATTTTCAAAAATTAATACAACTTTGCTCTTAATAGTTTCAAATTTTTAATTAGAACAATTTGGCTTATAGGTTTTTAGAATTCAGTCATGCTTATATACCACAAAATACTGGTAAATTCCCCAGAAAATAATGGTTAATTTTATTTAACCAAAAATCAAAGGACACCAAGCCAGGAACTGCTTTTAATATGCTCAGAATATATACCTGCACACTATAGAATTTGGTTAGATTTTGATAGAGGTTTCTATCAAACAATTCATTAATACATTTGAGTGCTTGTTCTGATCACATACTGTTCTAGGTGGTGCAGATACAAGTCCTTATTGAGTTTGTACTCTACTGAATGTAATTTGACATATATATATATATGAAATAAAATAAGCCATTTCTAAATAGTCTATAGACACAAAATTCTCTTGAATACAGACAAGCTCATTGATTTATATACTGTCTAGGACTGCTTTTACACTATGACAGCAGAGTTGCCTAGTTCAGTAGTTGCAACAGTAAAATGTTGTATTAGGCTGATAATGTACTGTGATGCTATTGATAATTTCATGGATACGTGTGATGACAGAATCAGAATGAAATGTGAGTTACCATACCAACAATAGCATCTTTTCTGGAGTTCACCTAAAGACCTCCTGCATTTATAGTTGTTAAATCTTTCTTTCAAGACTCACTATCCAACTGATGAACATTTGTACTTTTTTATTGGAAGTCTTTGTTAAGAATAAGCAAATCAGTTTTCCAGTAAGCAACTTTCTTACCTGGTGATTCAATACCATGTGAACCCCATGAGTTCGAATATCTGTGGAAAACTCCCCCAGAAAGTCCAGGATGTCCTCAATTGTGGCTGCATAGGGAAGACCTCGAAGGCGTATACAGTCTCTAACATTTGTAGGGGGCACAAATTGTTGAGGTAGCACTGGAATAATGGGAGGTGTTGGAAGTGGAATGAGAGGGGCCGAGGAGAATCGATTCAGCACCTGTACTCAAAGCAAAACAAGTGATTTAGAGCCTTGCTACTCAAATGCAGTCCACAGACTAGCACCGGCATCACCAGGGAGCCGGTTAGAAATGCATAATCTCAGCTCCACCATAGACCTAGTAATTATAAATTTGCATTTTAACAAGATCTCTAGTGATTTATAAGCATATTAAAGTTTGAGAATCACTCATGGAGAAAGGGCTTCATGCTTTTCAGCTAGAAAAGCATGATACCCACTTTTGTCAAATGCATGCTGAGATATCTACCACATACGATGATACAATGTGTTTAGATTAAGGACTTATCTACTGCACAAATAAATCACTATCTGCCTTGGGACAAACATACTTAAACTCTGCCACTTTCACAAAAATCTAGAATTGCTAATTGTGGACTACCGTAGCAATGTATTTGATTTCATTTCACTAAGTACAATGTTCCCCTTAATACTGTCTTCACATTCAACCTTCAAACTAGAGGCATATAAAGAGATAACCCAAGAATCGAACCGCAGTTAAAACAATGACTCTGGATTATATCAAAATATAATGCCATATTTATAATAATGTACAAAGCAAAGCAAATGATAGAATGGCTGAATAAAGTAAAGTTAAAAAAAATCAATTAGTGATCATAAAAATAATCGCTTGGTTTCCATGTGAACTTTAGACACTGGAAAGACAGAGGATCTTGACTATATTTTAAATACACAGAATTTAGCTATCTTGAGAATGAGTGAGATCAGGTACATTTTGGAGAAAAAACTGCTCCCAGGTAAAACTCGTATTACAAATTTCTTGCCTACTTTTGTCTTAGAATAAGTCTGGTTCAGAACATGTGTATTAGTTGATATTACTAGGAGGTCTTCATGCAAACACCATGTGTGGCATTCCCAAGTTTTCTGAACAATTTATCATTGTAGCCTTTAGCATTCCATAAACGGAAAATATAGAACAATTGATGAACTCCCCAAAATTTGCCCTAATTTCTTCATTCATATCCTGTCCAGTTGCTATCTGAGTAAGAGATGACAAAAATCAAAGAATAAACATAGCCAAAGAATTTTATGACAAATAGCAAAATTAAAAAATTATACAAACAATCCAGACACAGCATAGATATTAGGAGAAAAACAAACAGAAAATAAATGTGGTTATAAACAAACTTGAGACAGGAAATGGTCTAGCAACTACAAGACCTGCCAAACAGGAGGTGAGCAAATAGTTACTTAATGAAATGATTATTAGCAATGAAAAGAAGCCAGTGTAGAGTCTATGACTACAACACTTATTAAATATATCAGTAGGGATGGGGGGGCTAGAGAGGAAGCTCACTCACACTCAAAACCACCTTATGGTACAGTCAGAGAGGGGCAGCATACTCTACACCCAAACTGATCAATATTATGGAGCTGAGGCACTGTGGTAGGGTAGTCCATTCTATGCCATGGTTTCCATAACACTGTTCTTCCAACTAAAAATCTAAAATAAAAAAAATCTCATTTCCCCCTAAATTTGGGAAGGACGTATCATGCTTTGAAGCCTCAAGCATGTTTAGCAAATTTTAGAGATTCAGAATTTATGATAATTTTCAACAAGGTATAGAACTATTTAAATTATAAATATGTTCATAATTTGGGGCACAAGAACACCAGTACATCAGAACACAGAACTTAGAATTTCAGGTATAAAATTATATTCTAGGTATAAAAATCAATTTGATTTTTCATCCTAGCAGGTGAAGGGTTCTATTTAACGTTAAGCAATTATTTTAAGTCACAATATACAATGAGCTTTGCAGAAGCTATACAAAATCATTTCATGAACTCACAGAAATAATAGTAGAGTCAGGGTCCTAACTGCTTGCAAAAAAAGGCCCAAAGGAATCATTAAAACGATTATGTTCTATTATGGGGCCAAAGTAGAATAAGTTGAAAGAGCCCTGTGAAGCAGTCTACATGATCTCAGTTACCAAGGAAAAATTAACTGACTCTTTGGCTAAGTCAAGAAGAGAAACCAACAGGCTTGAGAACCTACAAGTAGCCTAGAGTTTAGAGTGTTTTCAGGAACTGATAATCCTATTCGTGCCTCAAAAACAACTCTGAATTCTGAAAGTAACAGGACAAAAGGGCACTTTACGCTGTCACCAATAGTTTGGAATTTGGCAAGACAGTAAAATTAAAAACCTTAAAAGCTCACACCCTTATATTCAGTTCTAAAGAAATCAATCAGAAATTGAGTTTTATAAGCATGTTTACCTAGAAATTCCTTATAATAGAAAAAAAACCAACCCAAATATACAATAATTTCTAAATAAATTATGTACCTCCTCCATGAGACATAATATTAACTTAAAGATGAAATTTTTTGGACATAAGTAAACTTTCAGGATATGGAGTTTCGAAACAGAATACAAAAGTGTATCTATAGCAGTATTTCAGTTATATGGAAACACATGGTAGTTTTTCTATGTGTACATAAGATAACAGTGCCTATCTTTTGCTTAAGAAATAAGAATTTTTCATGCACTTACATGTCTATATTTTCCAAGTTTTACTTTAACAATGAAAAATGTAGGATTGTTTTCAGAAATAAATAGAAATAATGCAAAACCACCAACATGCTCAAAAACCAACAGAATTGATTCAGCATCAGCTGCTGTGCTCCTGAAGAGTTCAATGTATCTTTTACCCAACAAGTCCTTATGCTTCCTCAATGCATTCTGTGCATACTCCTCACAAGCAAAGAGAACAAAAGCATCCCCTGTTGGCCTGCCGTCTGGGTAGGTAACGAAGAGGATGCCTTCCTTCCCCCCAGTGATGGGGCAATGCTGTCCAAAGAAGGCCACCACTTCATCAGCCGTGGCCGTGAATGGGAGCCCTCGCATGCGGACAATGACTTGATTTTCCTTGGAGAGAAATTGGGCTACCTCATTGGATGTACCTAGGGAACACAAAAATCAGGAAGTATGGGGAGAAATGGTTAAGACACCAACTCTACCAAATTTAAAATGGGAAAAATTCTTGGCAATGTCTTGCATTCATAATTAAGACCCGCACCCCCAAATGAATTCATAATAACATCCCAGGAATCAGAATTCTCTTCTCACAGATTTGAAACTTTTCCCCTATCATTTTCATAAAACACCTCTCAATTAGGAAGGCAGCCCAGCAAGTAAATCATGGACCAACCGCGATGTTCTCCTCATGGAGAGGCAATTAATCATCATGGTAGTTAAGGGCACAGGTCCTGGAGCTAGAATGCCTAGGTCCAGTCTTGACTTTACCATTTACTAGAGTATGACTATAGTAAAGTTTAACCTCTGGGCCTTAGTTGCCTCATCTGTAAAATAAGGGTAAAATAACCTACCTCAAATTATGAGACTAACTTAAGATTCAAACATACTCAAGTAGAGAAAATAGTATAATGAATATACTTGGCAGTTAGTCTCAACATTTATCAACATTCTGCCTATCACAAAGTATTTTTGTACAGTACTGCCATGTAGTACTCAAAAGTACGTCATTCAAGCTCATACACTACTAATATTTCCCCTTAATCATACCACTCGTACCATGAAATCCCAAGCATTAACTTTAACATTAATTAACTTTGCCATCTACAATTTACACTGGTATTACATAAAACCTCAGGACCAAAGCAACTTCAAATATACCTTATCCCCAATCAATATGAAACATTGCTTTGGGAACATGATTATACTTGAAGCTCTGAATTTGAAAGCTTTGATTTACCTTGAGAAGTAAATGCCAGAACAGAATTATGCCAGCAAATTGTAGAAACAAGATGCTGTTACTGCAAGTTCTACTGATGAAAAGATTTTTAACAGGGCTATATAATGCAGGGATATAAGTGCTTTCTGTATTTAAGTCAAAGTCACCCTCATATATTTTGGCGATAGGTGTCAAAAGCCTCTTAAAATGTCCCCTCACATTCTGTGATTGAGCTATCCTACTTTTAGACATTTATCTTAATGATTGGCACATACAGAGATACAAAAATATTCACCGCAACATACTTAAGAGCGAAGAGTTGGAAATAAGCTCTAACTGCCCAACAGGGATGTTTAATACAAATCTATAGTACATATGATATTGCATAGCAATTAACATTTAGGAAAATTGAGTAAATAGGAAGATATTCAAATATACTAAAAGGAGAAAGGAAGTTATAAAGCAACATGAACAGAAATTTACAAAGTAGTCACATGTATAGAAGAAATCTGTTGGACAAACCATAGTTAACGTTTTTTTATGCAGCGGTTTTTAGGTTTTTGTTTGTTAGGTATTTATTTTTTAACATTTTATTTTATTTTATTTTTTTCCTCTTTTTCCCCTTCCCCCTTATTTTTAGGTTCTAAAGTTATGAATCACTTAAGAATTAGATAAAAACTATCTTGTTTCTGATTCTTTCTGACCATGTTACTGCGAACGCTACTTATCTTAAAATACTAGAAGCCAGAAGCTACTGTTTCTAGTCAGGGATGAATTCAGGAAGTTTAGAGAAAAACCAGAAGCAGAGATGCAACAATTCCAGGTATTCTGATATGGATGTTTCGAAGTAGTTTTCAGAATAATTTCTTTCGAGAACTACTCTTTCGCTCTGTACACTACTTTATATGACCCCTTCACCTTTGTATTGTAGTATTTTAAACGGCTATTTAACTACAGTTGGTTGACTCAGCATTAGGACAAGTGTTATGCATTACATTTACTGATACTATTGGACATTTCTTTCTATTAAAAAATGTCAATTCCTATGCTTCATTGGGAAATAAAAACCATTAATTACCCTATTTATTTACCCTTGGTATACAAGTAAAATTTTAGTCTTACTATAGGCACATTTTACAAAAGGCACTCACCACCAGCAATTTTAAGAAAATCTTCACCTGTTGCTTTGTAAACCTAAGAAAAGAAAGGGAAATTAAATATAGTTTCTGAGCTTTCTAATATTCACACTCAAAATTTCGAGGGTTTCAGGTGGTGAGGACGTACCTCAATGTACCGGGTTCCCATGTGATGTTTGTGCCTCTGTAGTGCTAGATCTCTGTGCTCCTCACTTACAAACCTAACCAGAGCTTCTCCATTCCTTCGACCCTGGGCATTCAGACAAAGTGCTGCACCTCCCCTTTGAAAAAGACAAAAGAGATAGCAGAAGTGAAAAAAAAATAAGTCAGGAAAAAATTATAGGAAACCCGTTATCCTTTTGAGATTGTAAAGTAAAATAGAGATTACAGAAAACCAACTTGGCAATATTGAGTCCTTTGAAGAATCTTGCAATATCTTGATCCGAAGACTGCCATGGCAAACCTCGTGCCCTGACTACCGTGTTGTCATCAATAAGTTCCATCTTGCTGCTGTGGATCAAGCAAAATTTCAGGTTACATTATTTAATGCCATTAAGTCTTGACCTATTACCCCCGGTAAAGCAATTTGCCAGTTTACACATGAGGTATTTATTTGGAGTTCAGAAAGACTTGTAACACTGCCTGATTTACTCTGTAACCTCAAAAAATATCTGGGCACAGTTCAAAGTTTTCTTTAGGTGGTTCACTGCAGAAAGACAACTGGATATGCAGATCCAACATAGCTAGCTCATCTAGCAATCTATCAGCGGAATTGCTGCTTGTTTGCCATCAACTCATAGGAAGCAGAGGTCTCTCAATACCCTGATGGCCTATAAGTTCCTAGAGCAAGAAAGGATAGGTTTAAATTCATTCTCAGAACTGGCCAGTACTGGTTTGGCCAGCGGGGTTTGACGGCAAAATTTAAGGTCTGCATAAAGCTGGCAATTAATCCACATCAAGAATAAGTGCACACGGTCACAAGTCTGCCATTAAAATATCTCCTCTATCAAACAGGGGAGCCCTCAGAGTGCTTGTGGAAATGCTTGTGGAAAAGCCCTCAAGAGTGTCCACACCTTGATGAGTCATCTGCAAATCACCTATGATCTATTTTGACACCTTTTGATGTTCTAATTTCTCCCATATTCAAATTTTCAGTACTCCTAGGACATTTTCCTCATGAGTCACTTTCTCCACAACTATATAGACCTCAATTTAAATTTGTGGGCAAAGATGTCAGAAGTTTCTGTTCATGTCAAGCATCTGGCAACTTCAGGTAATTCAATATTGTGATTTACAAACTTAAAAAGGTCTACCTGTGATCACAAACAGAGATACCACCATTTCATACTTGTCTCCAGTTATTTCCTTTGCTTTAAAGTATAAGCTGATAGAACATACTTAAAATTATCTCAGTAAAGATCTTGTGAACTGTTATTAAAGCCTATGATTTTTCCTTTGGAAGTTTTCCAGTGAGAGGAGGTTAAAAGAGGTTAAAATAAGAATCATAGACACAAACATATGATTTACCTAAGGCCATAGTGACTAATAAAGATGCAAATATTTCATTAAATGTTAATCTCAACATCCAAGCATACTTTAAGATATAAACTTCTAAGTGACCTAATATTAAAAAATGGATAGCCAAAAGGTTTAGTAAAGTGACTAAAATATAAGGTAAGGTAAAACATCACAATATGAATAAAGACAAATCAAAAGGCTCGAATGGAATAGCCCTCAAGTACTCACCAAGTGCCACTTTCAAATTTGTAATTTACTCTCTCTGGATCTGAAAACCTGTGATCTAAAAAATAAGAACATACAAGTCATCATTTTAGCTATTAGAGAGACAAACGTATGGAAGGAAATTCAAAAGCCTAGGTGAGGGAAAAAGGGTAGGATCAAATTCTAGGTCTGCATTGCTACAACAGTGATACTTACTATAAGGCTCTGAAATCATTGCTAAAATTATATTCCCCAGATCTTCAATTTGAGAGGCTCCGTACCGGGAGACTGAACTATTCTTCTCAAAATTTAAATCTGGGAGATTAAGTCAAGGAAACATTTTAGGGAGGTAAAATGAGGTTGCTTCTAACCCCAAATTAAACTCACACAGAGCTTTGAAGCCAAGCAAATTAAAATTAAAATTAAAATGCATCTAAACTGACAATTCTTTGAAATCTCAGAATGGCTGCTTCTCATCAGTCTGGACATCACCCACACTCCCTGAAGTTTCCAACTGCTCTCAGGTAAAATGGCCACATCGATCCTGTCGTGAAGTACTAGCAGTAATATTTCTGCTTACTGAGTAGTAGCAAATGCATTAATACTGACTTGTTTATTTTCAAACCAGGAAGTAAGTATACAACGAAGTTAATAGAATCCTTCATCCTATATATCATTACAGCACACACAAGGTAATGATCATGCCTCATAACACAGCCATCTTAAAGGGCAGTAAATGCTTGTCCTTAGAGAGTAAATTTGTAAGAAACAATTCAAGCACTCAGAGCCAACAGTGGCCACGGTAGATCTTGATCAAGTGAATACACTGTTTGGGTAAGCCAGAAAGCATGGCTTTTAAGAAATGCATGTGTGGCTCAAATTGGGTTTGAGGGTGAAACCCAGAAGATATTTCCATCAAGCTTTATAAATTTGCAATCTCTCTAAAATAAGCATGTATCTTTGTTACCTTAGGAAACTAACCCTCACTGAAGTGTTTAATTTCTTTAAGTTTCAATGCTATAGTCACACTTATTACATATAAATTTATATCAATAATGCATATAACAGATAATACTATGAGACTCTCATCTTTTCTCAAGTTTAAAGTGAAAACAGAGACCAACAGCACTTGAAAAGATGCTAAATATTACTCATCATCAGAGAAATGGAAATTAAAACCACAATGAGATATCATCTCACATCTGTCAGAATGGCTATTATCATCAAAAAGATAACAAGTATTGGCGAGGTTCTGAAGAAAAGGGAATGTAAACTGGTGAAGCCACTATGTAAAATGGTGTTGACAATTATCAAAAAAAAATTAAGAATAGAACTATCATATAACCCATTTATTCAACTTCTGGGTATCTATTTGAAGGATACAAAAACGCTAATTTGAAAAGACACATACATCCCTATGTTCATTGCAGCAATGCTATTAATAGTCAAGATATGGAAGCAACTTTGTTGTCCACTGATAGATGAATGGATAAAGATGTAGTACATATATACAGTGGACTACTACCCAGCTACAGCAAAGAAGTAAATCTTTCCATTTGTGGACCTTGATGGTCCTGTGCTAAGTGAAATAAGTCAAAGACAAATACCCTATGATTTCACCCATGTGGAATCTAAAACACAAACAAACGCATACAGACAACAACAGACTGGTGGTTACCAGAGGGGGCTGGAGGAGAGTGTGAAAGGGGTAAAGAGGGTCAATTGTATGGTGATGGATGGTAACTAGACTTACAGTGTTGAACACTATGTAGGATATACAAATAATGAATTATAATATTGTAAGCTGAAACAAATAAATATAGTCTCGTATACAATTATACCACAATTTTAAAAACTAATTTAAAAAGTAAAATGAAGACAGCCATCTGGGTGGTGATTATTAGAATGTTTGCCTTATTTTATAATTTCCTGACTGATATTTTATAAGGACAAAAACCAAAAACATGTTAAGAAAAAGTCTGTAGGTACTATTTTTACCACAGATGAAAAGGATATATACAATGTTAAAACAACTCAGAGAGCTCCCTCCCACCAAGAATTACAGCCAATCATCTGAAGACTCAATTAAATGAGTAATATCCTTTTCCATTCTCAATCAAAAGCTCTTTCCTTTCATCCCCTAGCCTTCTCCTTCCTTCCTCTGGTAGAGACCTTGTATTGCTTTCCCAAAATGCTAGACCAAATCACTTGTGTTGTCCCTCACCAGTTACATGTCTCTTCAGTTAAATATACCACATGTAGAAATGCAGCCATATGGCTCTTGGTAAACTACTTAATACTTAACTCCACTGAATTTCAGCTTATCTGTAAAGCCTAAACTGTGATTATCTTTGTTCTGTTTTTTTTTTTTTGGGCGGGGCGGGGGGGCGGGGAGTAAAGATTAAATGAAATAAAGCAAGTCCAGGGCACAACAGCAGGCACTTAATAAGTGATATCCTTCCCCTTCCTAGAACCTTCAGGTGACCAACTTTTATAACCTAAAATAATCACAATTTGAAGGTCACATTTATGACTAAAAAATCTGATGCCTATTTGTATACTATTAGATAATCACGCTAAAATGGTAGATGAGTTCTACCATTACACACACACACAAACACACACACGCACACACACAGAGGCAATCCTGCCCTTCACATCATCTAGTGATGAAATAAATGTGCTGCCCACTAAGGGATTAGAAAATCAATCCTAGGAGATATTCAAGCAACAGAGCAATGACCACCTATTGGGGTCATTAAAATGGTCATCTGTGAAAGGCTGTACTATTACATATTTATTAATTCAATGCCACTTTCAAAGAATATGATGACGAGACAGAAAATCAGAGCCGCAGGATGCCCTAAATTTTCTGGGGGTGAGGTGGGGACATTACAGAGCCCTACAGAGCTAAGAAAGATTAGCTGTGACCAGCCACAGTTTATCATGCAAACTCTTGCCATGGAATAACTGTCTAGAGCTCTACAATTCTAGTAATAATTTCAGCCTTGTCAGGAGTAAAGAGAATGGAATAAACAGAAAAGTATCCAAGAAATGGAAACCAATTCCATTGCATAAGCCAGAGTTTCTCAATCTTGGCACTATTGGCATGTAAGGCAGATAATTCTTTGTTGGGAGGGGCAGTTGCCTGTGTATTATACAATTTTTAGTAGCCTGCTGGCTTCTATCCACACACAGTAATGACTAAAAATGTCTCTGGACATTGCCAAATGTCCCCCAGATGGGCAAAAACCATCCCAGGTTAAGAATCACTGGTGTAAGCTAACAGTTCCCTATAGCTCTAACTTTACCCCTTACTATCTATCACATTGTCAGAAAAAGCTCTTTCATTGAGACCATTATTGGACAAAGATTTTGAAGAAAACTGGCCAAATACTGTCTATCTCCCCCTATTTTCACAATATCTCTGCCAATAGTAAAATCAAACAGATAAAAAATCTAGAACTTAGAGAAATACAGTAACTCACCCAGTCTCCCTCCTGGTAAGTAATGTAACTGAAATTATAATACAGCTCTGATTTGACTGTGTGTACACAATTCCCTGCACCAAGAAGCTTTGCCTAATTTGTTTTGTTTTGAGCAATACTTTATGAGAAGCTTTCTAAATGGATATTTAAGATCCAAGTGAAAGAGATAGATCAAAAGTAAGAATGAACAGTATCCTGTCTGTACAGACAGAGATTTGTAGCTAAAGAATTATTTTAAATAATTCTTTTAAATTAAGAATATGTTCTAGATATTTGGCTAACTTGGTTCTGCGTAACATGTCCCAACATGTTTCTCTTCAGGTCATTACACATCAAGAGAATCAGCAGTTCTAAGCTCTTAACAACTTTTAAAAGTCACCCAACCTCCTGCACACCCAAACCACTCCCTTACAGATACACACACACACACACACTTACACAAACCAATCTACCCTCTCTTTGGAAAGTTTGTTCGATTCATAATCCTTACCAGAATTTAACATGAATA